TTCTTTCTTTAAATTTTTATAGTTTTTGCTAAAAAGATCTTTTACATATTTGGTTAGGTTAATTCCTAGGACTTTTTATTTTTCGAGGTTGGGTTTGTTTTCATGATTTCCCTTTCTGCTTTTGTACATGGTTGTCATATGGCTACTGGTTTTTGTGGATTAATTTTGTATTCTGCTATTAATATTGCCAAAGTGGTTGATCAGCTGTGGGAATTTGGGGGTGGAGTTTTTGGGTCCATTAGTTTTTTAGGTCCATCATGTCATCTGCGAATAGGAGTAGTTTAATTTCTTCTTTCCCTATATGCTCCCTTTTATGTCCTCTTTATGCTTTATTTTTCTGGCTAAGAATTCCAGAACTGTATTGAACAGGAGTGGAAAGAGTGGGCATCTTTGCCTTGTTCCTGATTTTAAGGGAAATGTATGATGTTGACTGTTGGTCTGCCATATATAGTCTTTACTTTTATTCCTAGTTTCTCCAAAGCTTTTAACATGAATGGTCGTTGCATTTTGTCTACATCTATTGAGATGATCATGTGTTCTTGTCCTTGGCTGTTCATGTGATGAATTATATTTATTGATTTGTATATGTTAAACTAGCCTTGCATCTCACTGTGGGATGAAGCCTACTTGATCATAATGTATGTTTTCTTAAATTTGTTTCTGGATTTTTTTGACTAATATTTTATTGAAGAGTTTCGCATCTGTGTTCATCAGAGAAATTGGTCCATAGTTCTCTTTTTTTGTTGGATCCTTACCTGGTTTTGGAATGAGTATGATATTGGCTTCATAAAATGGTTTAGAATTGTTCCCTCTGTTTTTGTTTCATAGAAAAGCTTTAGGAGTATTTGTATTAGTTCATCTTTAGTCTTATAGAATTCAGTAGCGAATCCATCCAGGCCTGGGTTTTTCCTTGTTGTAAGACTTCTGATTACTTCCTTTATCTCCTTGTGTGTTACTTGCTTCCTTAGCTGGCTATATATATAGCCAGTTCAGTTTAAGCAGTTTATGTGCTTCTAAAAATTCATCTGCTAGGTTTTTCTTTAGTGAGTATAGGTTTTAAAAGTAGTCCTTTGTAATCATTTGAATTTGTTGGATGTTTGTTGTAATGTTTCCTGAGTCATCTTTGGTCTTCCTGATTTGAATCTTGCAGATGATCTGTTAATTTTATTGATTTTTTTTTCAAACAAAACAGTATTTTGTTTTATTGACTTTATAGGGTTTTTTTTTGTTTCTATGTCATTGATTTCTGCTCTAATCTTTGCTATCTCTCTCCATCTAGTGGTTTTAGATTTGTTTTGTTGTTGTTTTTCTGGCAGTTTTTGTTGCATCATAAGGTTATTTACTTGATCTGTTTGTTTTCTTTATGTTCTTAGAGCTGTAAGCTTTCCCCTCAGCACTGCTTTTGCTGTATCCCATATGTTCACTTGTGATGTGTTTTCATTTTCATTGAATTATAAAAACTTTCTAATTGCTTCCTTAATTTCTTCTGTGACCCAGGTGTTTATTCAGTAGTGTGCTATTCAGTCTCTATGTGTTTGAGTGATTTCTGCAGTATGTTTTGTTGTTGAGAACTAGATTAATACCCTGTGGTCAGATAGATGCAAGGAATTATGCCAATCCTCTTTTATTTGCTTAGGTTCTTTGTATGTACTATGACATGATCTATTTTGGGAAATGTTCCATGGGCTGTAGGGTGGAATACTCTGTACATTTGTTAAGTCCATTTGGGTTATGATGTCATTTAGTTCAGAGGTTTCTTTGCTTATCTTTTATTTGGTAGACCTGGGGTATTAAAATCTCCCACTATTACTGTGTTTTGGTCTATCCTGTTCTGTAAATCCAAAAGTATTTAGTTATTTAGCATTTAGGTACTCCATTATTTGGCACATAGATGTTGACCATTCTGATTTCTTCTTCATTGATTGTTACCCTTATTAATATGTAATGACCTTCTTTGTCTCTCTGTATTGATTTGAGTGAAAAGCCTATTTTATCAGATACCAATATGGCTACTCCTGCCTTCTTGCAGGGTGCATTTGCACGAAAGATCTTTTTCCATCCCTTCACTTGGAGTTTGTTTTTATCTTTGACTGTGAGATAGATCTCTTGGAGACAACAAAAGGGTGGATCTCATTTTTGATCCAATCTGCTGTTCTTTTTCTTTTGATTGGGGAATTGAGTCTGTTATAGAGAAATGAGTTGTGTTTCCTGGCATTTTCTTGATTTCCTGTATTTTGCTTCTTTCCTCTTCCTGTGCTTACTAAATTGGTCTTCTAATGGTTTTTGTCCAGTGTGTTTCCTTGGTTTTGTTTGTTTTCTTCAGATTGTATGCTTCCCTTTACTATTCGTAATGCTGGTTTAGTGATCATGAATTCCTTTAATTTTTGTTTGTCATGGAAGGTTTTGTTTTCACCATCTAACGTAAATGATACCTTCGTGGAATAGGTCAATTTGGGTTGGCAATTGTTTATCTTCAGGGTTTGCATTAAACTAGCCTGTCTTTGCATTGAGAGTTTGTGGAGGGATATCTGCAGTGATGCTGATTTTCTTTCCATTGTAATATAGCTCCTTTGATTTTGCAGCATTGAAAATCAATTCCTTGCTTTTCAAGTCTAATGTTTTTACTATGATATGTCGAAGTGTTTCTTCTTGGATCCTGTCTACTACGGGTTCCGTATGCTTCTGGCAAGTGGGTGAGATTTTCTCTCAAGATTGAGAAGTTCTCTGTTACTATTTTATTGAACAGGTTTTCGATGCCTTTAGTATTGAGTTCTTCACCCTTTTAGGTCCTTACTATGTGGAAATTTGATGTCTTGGCTGGGTCTGCCAGTTTTTGGATTTCTCTTTGCTAGTTTCTGAGTTTTTTCTCCATACCTTTGACTTTTTGTTGTAGCACCTATTTTATTCTTGACTTCTGGTATTCTGTTTTTCATTTCACTTATTCTGTTACTTAGGCATGCCACTGTGGTTTTCAGTATCAAAATTGAACCTTTTATGCTTCTGAGATCAGTTCTCATAGTATTAATTTTGTCTTTTAATGAGGTATTTAGTGTTAATATTTTTATCTCCATATCTTTTGGGGAATCCTGGATCTTCTTTGTACTCTTTTGAAATTTTTTTTTCTTCTCCCCTTTTATTTCATTGGCCAAACATGTCCTTAGTGGTTCTTTTGTCCTCCATCTCTTCTTTACTCTCCCTGGGGTCCTTCCCTGGATTGTTACTGGCTTTTGGATTTGGTTCCTTGTCTTGATTGCTCATGAATCTTGTCATCTTTCATTGTGATTCACACATTTGAGTTCAGGGATTGTCACGTCTATCACCTAAGCTTGGACTACTCATCCCCCCCCCCCCCCCCAGGTGGTAGCCCATACTTGGTCTGGGATAGCTCACACTAGGGGAACTGGCCTGAGCTCTGCCCTGGAGCCAGCAAGTGCTTGTGCACACATGCATGACATCAGGCCAGCAAGCTTGGTCTAGGCAGGGGGTGGAAAGCCAGATTCAGGCCTCTGAGATCAGTATGGGCTTTGGAAGGGGTGCACGGGAGTTTTTCTGCACTTGGGCCCGTAGTTGGATCTCACCCCACAGGTGGCTAGTCCTTGGCCTCCGGCTTATGCATGTGTTCTTGGCGGATGGCTTGTGTGTATCCCATTGGCTCAACCCTTGGCCAGTAGCTAGCAGCTAGCAGCCAGGCGAATGGTCTGTCTGCAGCAGTGGCTGGGAAGGCTAGATTCAGCCCTCAAGGATGGCACAAGGCTTTGGAAGGGTGGGCTCCTGCAGTGCATGTTTTCAAACAGGTCAGGTTTCTCTGCCAACAGCCAGAGTTGCAGAGCACCCAGTGTCCTAGCACCCACTCAGTATGAGTCCCGATGGTCTCCCACTGGAAGCTGGCAGGTGTGGTGAGAGGGAATGAGGAAGGGCTCTGGCCTCTTTGCCCTCCTCAAGTGTGGATCCCCTTCTTGGGTGGGAGGGAAAGAATTGGTTCACATTCTATGGGTCACCACCAGCACTGGCCTCCATGGCACAGGGGTTTCCTGGCAGGGTACTTACTGATTCTGGAGTTGGTTGTGGGCTGATTGGTGGTACTGTGGAAGTTCTCAGTGTTTGGATGCCTTAATATCACATTGCTCGTCTGTGTCACTCTCTGCTGGCCGGTCCCTGCATCTGGATGCTGCAGTCTCCCTTGTCCTGTAGTCCGGGGTTGCCATGGGGCAGCTCTTGCATCTTAGCTGCGTCATTGGTTATGGGCTGAGCAGTGATGCTGTGGAAGATCTCTGGGTCTGGATGTGGCAGTCTCCTGTTGCTGGGATGGGTTGCTGGGATGGGAGTTTGGTGAAGGACTCTGCAGTTTTTCTGTCCTTGTCTGTGCAAGAACAGAAAATGTCAGGACCCTAAATCTGTTTGATTAGAGAGACCTAAGGTGATTTTTTTATTGCTTCCCCACCATCTTCATCCCTTCGAGTTCCCTTGCTTTTGACTGAGGAAGCAGCATAAGGATGACCATGTGTGAACTAGGAAAGGTACCTCCTCTGGAGATCCAAACTGTCTAGCATGGTGACCTTGGACTTTCTGGCCTCCTGAATAGTGAAAAAATAAATGTTATATATTAAGAAGAGAGAGATAGCATCTTGCTATGTAGACCTGCTTCAGCCTCTTAGTGCTGGAACTACACAAGTGTACATAACCACTTTCAGCTAGGAAGATATTTCCAACATGTTGGGCACATGGAAAGGTACTGTATCTTTTATGTTTAGTGGTTAATTCTAAATTACTTTAAAGATTTTACTGCTTCACATTCTTTCATTTTTTCCCTTTAATTGCTTTTATTTATATATGTGTAGTTACATTTCTCTTAATATGTGTTTTTTCATCTTTAGGTTATGTAAAAAAAATTGCATGTTAAAATTGATGTATTTTATAGTGATTTTTACCTAATTTATGTGTAATCTGCTGAAAATGGATCTAAATGCTTAAAATGTGCCACTGCTGCTGTCTTTCATTAGGACATTGTGCCTCAGGCTTTGTTAGACCAATACTTGTCTATGACTGATCCCTCCCGTGCACAAACGGTTGACACTGAAATCGCTAAGCATTGTGCATACAGCCTGCCAGGTGTTGCCCTGACCTTGGGCAGGCAGAATTGGCACTGTTTGAGAGAGACTTACGAGACCTTGGCATCAGACATGCAGGTGAGTGAGCAAGGAAGGGATTGACAAGTGTGTTCACATGAAGCACAGGGCTTTTCTTCCAAAACCTGAAGAATTTCTGGGTGTTCCAGTATGTGCTGGTATTAGAGGAAATTATGTATGACAGTTCAAAAGCAGTATCTCTTCCTGCAGTCAGTTCCATTTTGTCTTTTTCACTTTTATCTTGAAATACTTAGAAATTATGTATTGTCTGAAGTTTATCTGTAGATAAACTCTTGAGGCTTAATTTTTCCTGTGAAAATTTTGCTGTAAGTGCTTACAGATTTCTTCATTAAATCTCAAGATTTAATGATTTAGAAGATTTAGGCCTTGCCTAAACTTTAAGCCCTGGATGACTAGGGCATTACAGTGCCAGAAAGATTTACTGGGAATTACTTCTTAATCCCAGCCCTCTTTTGAAAGAATTCAAAGGTGACCCATTGACTCTGGTCATTGTGTTTGGACATCTGACTTTGTGACTCTCTTCCTGGGTTTTAGACAGACAGACAGACAGACAGACAGACAGACAGACAGACAGACAGACACACACCTATTAAATAGCCACACACACACACACACACACACACACCTATTAAATAGCCTCACACACACACACACACACACACACACACACACACACACACACACACACACACACACACACACACACACACACACACACACACACACACACACACACACACACACACACACCCCTATTAAATAGCCTGATTTCTATGTGCAAAAAAATTATTTTTTGTTTTTTGCCAGTTTTGGGGCTTGAACTTAAGGCCTGAGCACTGTCCCTGACCTTCGTTTGCTCAGGACTAGCGCTTTACCACATTTCCAGCTTTTTCTGAGTAGTTTATTGGAGATAAGAGTCTCACAGACTTTTTCTGCCCAGGCTGGCTTTGAATCGTGATTCTCAGATCTCAGCCTCCTTAGTAGCTAGGATTACAGGTATGAGCCACCAGCACCTGGCAGTGTGTGTTATTAAGGGAGCAGTTGGTTGAACTAATTTCATTGAGGTAAGTATGTGTTTCCTGTTAAATTCATAGTACATAATGGTTTTTCAAGGCATTAGTGTGCCATTGACTCAACAAGTTGGAAGTTTCAAATACTCTTGAAGTCAATCTATGACATTAGGGCCTAAGGTCCCAGATCACTGAATGTATCCCTTGTTTATACCTTTCCTGAATGCTGGCTCTGCATGGAACTACAGAGGCTCAGGTTTATAGAATGCTTGGTCCTATGTGCTATGGTTTTCAATCCTGTTGCACAGAACTCAGGAGTATCTGTAAGATATTAGGTACTCCCACTACCTGGAGAACTAAGATGATCTGAGTGGGCTGGGCTCCATGTCTACTTTCCTCATTAAAGCCCTGTGTTTGTCTCCTTTCCTCATTAAAGCCCTGTGTTTGTTTTTATAGTATAAACTTGAGGGTGCAAGTTGACATCAGATGTGTGGGGTGGATAGTAAAGTCTTTGCTGTGAACTGCTAGTTTTTAGTAACAACGTTAAACAATAAATTGAGACCACAGGAAGAAAAAGATGTTTTGACTATAAGTTTCTTGTCAGTACAAGGCATTGCTGTTTAGGAGTTTTTTTTCCAAAGGTTGTATACAAAAGATTTTCAATGTTGCACACAAGTTTTGTTTTTTTGTCCCAGATAAGCAATTCAGGAGCATAATGGGAAGTCTGGTGAGGCTGATGTGAGATTATCATCAGCACATGTAGGCATCTGTAAATCAGGATTCTTAGCATTTTCTTTGAAAGTGGAAGGGGGGACTAAGTTCTTGTGAGGATTTGTAAAATTTGTCACGTGTTGAGATACTTAAATTTTAGGCTGTTGTTTCTTTTCTACTCAAATTTAGTTTGGGGGGATTTTAGTAATACTCAAAGTACTAAGCATTTTGGGTTTAGCTTCTCATGCAGTTTTTGCTTTTACAGTGGAAAGTTCGAAGAACCTTGGCATTCTCCATCCATGAGCTTGCAGTTATTCTTGGAGATCAGTTGACAGCTGCAGATCTGGTTCCAATTTTTAATGGATTTTTAAAAGACCTTGATGAAGTCAGGATAGGTGTCCTTAAACACTTGCATGATTTTCTAAAGGTAACTTTAAATTCTTTTGTATACAAAAATTCTACTCTAAACCTAAAGTCTTTGTGTGAGAGAGAAATAAAGGGTAGGGTGGGGAGCAGTGAGCAAGTAAAAGAACAGGGTTTCTGGACTGGGAAGGTGGCTGTGGTAGAGCGCTTGCCTTGCATGCATGAGGCCCTGGGTTCAATTCCTCAGCACCATATAAATGGAAAAAAGAAGTGGCGCTGTGTCTCAAGTAGTAGAGCGCTAGCCTTGAGCTGAAGAGCCGAGGGACAGTGCCCAGGCCCAGAGTTCAGGCCCCATGACAGACAAAAAAAAAAGGGGCGGGGGGTTTCTGTTTGTTCTTTTGTAAGGAAATACATTCTGTTTGTCTTTTTATAAGGAAATACAGTCATGAGTTGATGGTAACACGTGATTTAAGAAATAATCTATTAGGCTAGGAAGGTGGCTCAGTGGTAGAGTGCTTGCCTCGTATGCGTGAGGCCCTGGGTTCGATTCCTCAGCACCACATAAATGGAAAAAGCTGGAAGTGGTGCTGTGACTCAATTGGTAGAGTGCTAGCCTTGAGCTGAAGAGCTCAGGAAGAACACCCAGGCCCAGAGTTCAAGCCCCATGACCAAAAATAAAAATAAAAAAGAAAGAAAAGAAAAAGTGGAATTATAGCTCAAATGACAGAGCCACCTTCCTTGTAGTTGTGACGCCTGAGTTCAAACTTCAGTACTGCTAAAATGAAAAGCTCCATTCTAATCCATCTTGCTCTGGTGTCCTTTAAATTGATGAATAATGATGCTAAGTGGTGCACCAGTGGTCCATGCCTATGATAATCCTAGTTACTCAGGATGGTGAGACCTGAAAGGTCAAGGTTCAGAGTAAGCCTAGGCAGAACACTCTATGAAATTCTATCTCAACTTCAATATGCCTGAATTCCCCTCAGTTTGAATTTATTTTTGTGTTTCAGAATTTGATTCTGGTTAGACCAGGATAGATATACATAGAGATATTTTTTTATGCCAGTTCTAAGGCTTGAGCTCGGGGTGTTCAAAAACTTGAGCCACATCTCAACTTTTCTTTTTTGCTTTTTGTCAGTAATTGGAGATGAATCTCTGATTTTTTTGCCTAAGCTGGTTCTGAACCAAAGTCCTTATGTACCAGTCTCTTAAGTAGTTAGGTTTATAGGAATCTGCCACCAGTGCCTATCCTAGATGAGGATTTTTTTCCTCCCAGATTTGTTACCTATCTGTGTGAGTGTTGCTTCCCATCATGGTACGAAATCTATAATCATTTGAATATAGAGTTAGCCCAATTTCTCTTTGAGAAGTAGCCATTCACTGTAGTGGTTAATAAGAAATGGTAAAATGAAGCTTTGAGCTCTATGAGTGTCTCCCCAGTGCTCCTGAAGCTATACATATTCTTGCTTGAATCAGTTATTGAATGGATTATAGTCATTTTCAATTTTCATAATTTCTTCTGCCTTTATTACTTAACATTCCCATATGAGAATAAATGTTCTTTCTCTGCTCGCTCTCTCTCTGCTTGTGCTCTCTCTCTCTCTCTCTTTCTGCTCTCCCTTTCCTTGTCTGAAAGCTTTTATGACATTAGTATGGACTCTCAGGTTTTTAAATTTTTTATTCAGAAAAATGTAAGCCATTTCTATGACTTGTTTAAACATCAGGTTTAAGTAATAGGAACAAACCCATTACAGCTGTCTCCTGTGTCCTTTTGTTTCTTTCTTTCTTTTTTTTTTTTTTGTCAGTCATGGCGCTAGAACTCTGGGCCTGGGCATTGTCCCTGAACTCTTCAGTTCAAGGCTAGTGCTCTACCACTTGAGCCACAGTGCCTGCTTCCGGCTTTTTCCATTTATGTGATGCTGAGGAATTGAACCCAGGGCCTCATGCATGCGAGGCAAGCACTCTACTACTGAGCCCATTGTTTCCAATTTTAAGCACATCTTTCCTGTCTCCTTTTCTTGTACAGCACTCTGGATTCGGCCTCTTGCCCAAAGACCCATGTTCTCCCCTTCTCCTTGCAGTCATTTTTCAGGCCCTTTCAAGAAGTGGTTTTATTTTTAGTTTTTTAGCTCATTTTTTTAAAAAAACTTAGATTTATTATAGTATTTAAATATATGAGTAGCTTGTTTAGTATCTAAGTCAGTCAGGGTAGATATACTTTATTTCCTCAAATACATTTAATAGTGATATACTATGAATCCAATACCATTTCCTCTCTTCATTTTTTTCTCCTTTCCTCTTGTAGTAAACTCTATTCTAAACCACATTAATTTGCTCAGTTTTATAACACCAATGAAATAATTTCAGAATTATTCCCAGTAATATGATTCCAACATATTACATATTCCAACATATTCCAACATATGATACTCAAAATTGCCTTTAGCATGCTCTCTCCTTATTAAAATATGCCTCTGTGGTGTAGTCAGTAGACTAAGTTCAAGCGTGGACATTTTTTCCTGTGTGATAGTTATCTAGCTCATAAAGTAGTTCTAGTCTATGTACAATCAAAGTTTAATAGTATTCCTCTTGTTAACTATAAACCTGTTTCTAAATATTAATATAGTGGTTAATTAGGGTTATTTCTTTTTCATTATTTTTATTCAACAAGCATGTATTAATTACCTACTGTGTGCCATTCATCAGACTCTGGTGGGATTAGCAGCATAGCTGCTGCGTTGTTTCAAGGAGCTAATAACTAAAGTATCATAAGAACAATGAGGCTGAACTCTGTCCTGGTATGGTGCCCAGTGTCCTGAGGGCACTAACAGGCAGAGATTTCCAAAGAAGATGGTGACTCTTGAGGGTAAATGAATAGTCATTTTAATACCTATTTTTAAAACAATACTGATAACAGATTTCTTCTTCAGAATAACCACATTTCTTAGAGTTTATTTTCAACCAGTATAGTAAAAGAAATAATATCTTGACCTTATTCTGGTTATTTTTGTTGTTGTTTTTTACTTAAGCTTCTTCATATTGACAAAAGGAGAGAATACCTTTATCAGCTTCAGGAGTTTTTGGTGACAGATAACAGTAGAAATTGGCGCTTTCGAGCTGAACTGGCTGAGTAAGTAGTTTCTGCAGTACATTTGATGGGTTTTTGGTTATTTCATTGCCTTTCTTTGTTTCTGCATTTATTCATTGTCTTTTGAAGGTTAGATTCAAGCTTTTGTCCAATATTCTGTGCCTTGAATAATTTCTTATAGTGTCTATCTTGCATCCCCATCTTCCATTGTGTGTGTGTGAAAAAAATCTAGTTAGCATCAGCTGGCTATGGGCACCACTGCACACTGTGGTCTTTCATTGTCATTTGAGATCACATTACTGTTGCCGAGAGTGGAGCTGTCCCTGTGTCCTGTGTTGCAGTTGGCTTGTGTCAATCGAGAGGTCTCTCTCTCTTGGCTCTGCCTTGGTCCTTAGGAGCGTCTTTATTGTTGGGCTTTCTCAGAGGTCCTGTTCTCTGCCCGACAAATTTCTGCCCATATCTGTGTTTAATTATGGGTAGGTCTTCCTCCCCATGGAAGTAGGGAGGGACATTTGCTTGGCGTCAGAAGGGGGACTTGGCTCAAGAAGGTTTCCTGTCCCTCCTGGAATAGAATGTTTGTTCAGTTCTTACCCCTTACAGGATCTGACTGAGCCTTGGCCCCTTTCACCAGTAAGCTAGGCGTTGTTTTGTAAGAGAAAGGTATCTGGTATTTCATAGCGGTCCCCAATCACTGTCTCCTCTCCTAGGGACAGCAAGTACTCCGTGAAGGCAGTTTGCAGATAGGTTTATGCTTGTTTATTGATGAACATACAACCTCATTCATTGGCCCTAGGTGCTGGATTCCTGTGTCTGGGATGGTTGGGTTTTTTGTTTGTTTACTTTCTGTGTAACAGGAAGCACTGCTTCATTTAATTGGATTAGACACTCACATTTTCTCTCTTGCAGAGCGATTTGTCCCTCTTTAGAATTAATGTCATTTGATGACATAAAAGTTTTTAGGAAAATTCAAGGACTTCCTACTTCTTTTATCCCTAACAAATACATCCTTCCCTAAGAGACTGGACATGTACAACAGTAGGTTCCATCAGACTTCTGCAACTTTCTAACTGATACTAGAAAGTTTGGGTCAAATATGTGCCATGGTCCTAGTAGAACATACTAGGCAGTGCTTTATACTGTCTCCATTCCTTAGTGTGTTTTGTGATACTATAACAAAGTACATGAAGCTATTTAATGTGTAAAAGAAAAAGTTTATGTGACTCATGATCTAGTAGCTGGAAAGTAGAAATGGCCTGGTGTTGCTATCTGGCAACATTACAACATGGTGTGGGTAAAGAGAAGAATTTGCTATCATTTGCATGCAAGGAATCAAAAGATTGAGGAAGGTCAGGCTCATTGTATATGCCTTTGTTGGAGGTTGAGGAGGTGCTGGGGATTGCACATGCTAAGTGGTGGGTGCTATACCACTGAACTACATACTAAGTTCCAGTGTGAATCTTTTATGACAACTCATTCATTATACTCTTTTAAACTAATAGTCTCATAGTTCCTTAATGCATTCTGTGGACACAAGCCATAATTACCTCTCATGAGCTCCCATCTCTTTGATGTCCACTACTTCTCTAACACTGGGCAAAAGCTTATAGAAGGCACATGAACTATATACCCCAGACTGTAGCCTGATGGACCTAGTCCTACAGCTTTTTCCTCCTTGCCTTCTTCAGGGAAGAGAGACTCTCTGAACTTGGATAGCATTTAGATTATTTCCAGATATTCAGAGACTGAAGGTGATTCTGCCCAGGAGAGGCCACTTACCAGTCTGTGATGTTATTTTATATTTGGTATCCAGTATTACAAAGTATGCAGATGGTTAACTTTTTATTCATCTTATTTGTTTTTGAAGTTGGGGTGGATTTTCATTGTATGTTTATAATTCATCTTTTGTAGGCAGCTGATTTTACTTCTAGAATTATATAGTCCCAGAGATGTTTATGACTATTTACGTCCCATTGCTCTAAATCTGTGTGCAGACAAAGTTTCTTCAGTTCGTTGGATTTCCTACAAGTTGGTATGTTTTAAACTTTTAAACTTTTTAAATCAGCAAACCATTTTAAAGATCACAGATAAAAGAGTTCCTCACTTCTTCCATGTTCCCCTTAGGTCAGTGAGATGGTGAAGAAGCTGCACATGGCAACACCCCCAAATTTTGGAGTAGACCTCATCCATGAGCTGGTGGAGAATTTTGGCAGGTGCCCCAAGTGGTCTGGTCGGCAAGCTTTTGTCTTTGTTTGCCAGGTAAGATCAGCCTGACACGCCCTCTTGTGAAGGTGCTCCTGGAGCTGTGTTCCCTCCCTTCTAGTTCTGCCGTTCTCATTCTTTTATTGTTCAGGAATAGAACTTCATCACACTCTGTCCATTTATAGGTTCATCTCCTCCCAGTTGGACATCTCTCAGACTCATCCCCAGTCAGCTGAGCATAGACACATTATACACGCATCCACCAGGGTCCAGAGACATGTTACAAAGAAATAACTGACCACCACAAGTCTTTCCAGAGCCACTTAAAAACTGCATCTGAAAGCTAGTTGCCAATGGCTCATGCTTGTAATCATAGCTACTCAGTAGGCTGAGATCTTAGGGTTGCAGTTGTTGCCAGCTGGGACAAGAAAGCCCATGAGACTCTTAAGTTCTAATTACCAAAAGGTCGAAGTGGAGCTTTGGCTCCAGTGGTAGAGCACTAGCCTTAAGCCATTCAGGGCAATGCTAGGGCCCTGAGTTTAAGCCCCAAGATCAGCACATGAGTGATACACATACACAAACTGCATCTGAATATATGGAGAGTAAAATGTCACTTTAACAACTTTTAAATTATTTAGTTATTAATTGGCACATTAATTGGTACATAATAGCTGGGTGCCGGTGGCTCACACCTGTAATCCTAGCTACTCAGGAGGCTGAGATCTGAGGATCATGGTTCAAAGTCAGTTTGGGCAGGAAAGTCCATGAGACTCTTATCTCCAATAAACCACTAGAAAACTGGAAGTGGCACTGTGGCTCAAGCGTTAGAGCACTCTGCCTTGATCTGAAGAGTGCAGGGACAGCACCCAAACCTAGAGTTCAAGCCCCGAGATCAAGCCCCATGACTGACAAAAATAAAAAAATACATAATTAGGGTACCATGTGATATTTCAGTGTATGTAGATACTATATAGTGTGTTTGTATCAGGGTAAGCCTGTCTCATGAAGCATTTCTCATTTGTTATAGAAGCAGTCTAGGGACTAGGAAGGTGCTCAGTGGTGGAGTGCTTGCCTTGCATGCATGAGGCCCTGGGTTTGATTCCTCAGCACCACATAAGCAGAAAAAGCTGGAAATGGTGCTGACTCAAGTGGTAGAGTACTAGCCTTGAGCTGAAGAGCTGAGGGCAGCACCCAGGCCCAGAGTTCAGGCTCCACAACCAATAACAACAAAAAAAGAAGCAATCTAAACTTTTCCTTTTAAGGGTTGAAAGCATAGCTCAACTGGCAGAGCAACTGCCTAGAAAGTGCAAGGCTCTCAGTTCAAACCTTTCTTAGTCTTTAATGGTTCATCACCATATTCTATATTTGCCCTACAGTGCAGTAGAACATCAGGACTTTCTTCACCTATCTAATAGTATCTTAATACGCCCTTAACTAACCTTCCCCCACGCAGTTATGTCATTTTTCTTTGAATTTTCAAGTACCTGGCATATTTGTAAAAGGGTAGTGACTAAACATCTACTTGTTAATTAAGTTGGTAACAAAAGATTGGTAGCCAAATTAAGAGTTTGGTAGCTGAATTGACAGATGTGAAGCAGTTACTTCTTTCCCCAGACTGTCATTGAGGATGATTGCCTACCCATGGACCAGTTTGCTGTGCATCTGATGCCACACTTACTAACCTTGGCCAATGACAGAGTTCCAAATGTGAGAGTGCTACTTGCAAAAACATTAAGACAAACTCTCCTCGAAAAAGGTAGGTGGCTGACCCAGGTGTGCGGAGTGAACTACACGGAGGTACATGTTAGGCAGGACTGGTGCTCGTTCATAGAAAATACTCTGGCAGAAGAATTTTAGTTGTTCAGAGTGGTTCTCTCCAGAGGACACAGAAGATGGAAGATTAGGACTCTGTTCAGTGGATTTATTTTTAAACTCCTGGACATAACATTATTTTTTATAGCTTAAAGCTTAGTAATATTAAAAATGGAACATTGCTCATGACACAGGAAGCTGTTCTCTTGCAATGCTCTGATGCCAGGCGCTGTGGTGTCGGGTATGAGTGGTACATTGCTTTACCTGTCAGCTCCATTCATTCAGCAAATAGACCCATTTTATTTGTTTCGCTGCAAATACAAGCTTGGAAGCTTGAAGTTCAACTTGTGCTTTGGTACTGTAACTGCATTAAGTGTCTCATAAATATAATCAAGTTCATAAACTCAAGAATGAAGCTCAGAAGCTTCTAAGAAAAAATTAATATTATCTTTCCTTTGCCACTCATGTAAATTTTTGTTTTGTTTTTGGGTTTTTTTTTTGTTGTTGTTGTTTTTTTGTTGGTTATGGGGCCTGAACTCTGGGCCTGGGCACTGTCCCTCAGCTCTTCAGCTCAAGGCTAGCTCTCTACCACTTGAGCCACAGTGCCACTTCTGGCTTTTTCCATTTATGGGTGCTGGGGAATCGAACCCAGGGCCTCACGCATGCAAGGCAAGCACTCTACCACTGGCCACCTTCCCAGCCCCTTGTCTAAATTTTTAAAAGCACTAAAAGCTAAATGGCTAGAACAGATTGTTTTGGTTTTGAGAGAACATGTATAGTTGGTGTTTGGGAATGTTTTTCCTTTTATGAAGCTAATGGATAGCTAAAAGGCATATTTTCATTGTTAATTGAATATTCTAGTTGCCATAGGAAATCATGAGATTTCATGTGTCATAAAAACAGTCAAGATAAACTTCACAACTGTTTTTATTACCTTTTCTTCCTATAACAAATCAGTTTGAATTACTATTTAGGAGTCAGCATAGTTTGTGTTTATACTTGTAGGAAATTGTGTTTACAATGGCTTAAGAGCTTTTATACTAAAGTCTTAACATCTGAAGGCTCATCTTGTGCACCGCACAATATGTCGTTTCCAGAATGTTTCTTAACCTCAGCTGGCTGTCATCAGGAAGCCGTGGAGCAGACTGTCATGGCACTTCAGATGGACCGAGACAGCGATGTCAAATATTTTGCAAGCATCCATCCTGCCAGCACCAAACTCTCTGAAGATGCCATGAGCACAGCTTCCTCAACCTACTAAAAACCATGAACCTTGGTGTCTGTGTCCACAAGAACCAAGGTTCGACCACTGAATGCGGGTCTGGGACAGCTGTGGGGGGAAGAAACCTTCCTCCCATTGACTTATCATAGGTGCCAGTTGCCTACACCTGATACCAGGGGTTTTAAGAGTCAAGAGAAAGTACAGTAAACACTATTATCTTATCTTGACTGAAGGGAAAGTAATTTCTCAGAGGATTGTAATCGTCACCAAAGCCTTAACTCCTTCGTCTTCCTGACTGAATGAAACTTGAATTGGCAAAGCATATTCCTTTTGGGAAGGATGAGGTTCCCAGAGACCTGCATTGCTTTCTCCTGGTTTTATTTAATGACTGATAAGTGGCATTCTTTGGCCAGAAGGCGGATGTGCACCTGGATATGAAAGACCTTCAGTATTAGCCCTAACCATTTCCTCTAGGCATGGATGTTGGGCTCTGGGGCAGGCTAGCCCAGCCCTAAGTGTGAATAGTTCTTGATGTGTGTAAATGGCAAAAGAGATTTGTTTTCTAAGGGCTTGATGCTAACACTAAAATAGAATCTGATTTTAACCCTTAAATGCAGCATATTGCTGTACACATTTACAGAATGTTTGCTGAAAATCTGTCCTTTTTTTTTTCATGCTGGTCATGACCTGAAGGAAATTTCTTAGTACATATATGGTATGTCAGGAGTTTTTAACTTGATCATGGTCAGCTCTGAGGTGCAACTTTTTCTTCCCATGCTGTACATACCTGTGACCACTCTGGGAGTGTGCAGTCTTTAATCATGCTGTTAGAACTGTCATGGTACAAGTTCTCTTGTCCAAATAAAATTTATTAATAAGATCTATAAAGAAAGATATATACACTTTTGATTGTTTTCTAGATGTCTATGAATAAATGAAATATGACTTGTATTAATGACTTAGTATAAAGTGGGAAAACTAGATTAAAATGCTTTTAACTAGTTTGAAGTCTTCGGAATATGCCTTTGTTCATTGGCTCAGTTCTACTCTTGCCAGCCAGCAGAGCCTACTGAAGTTTCTTCTGCAGCCCTGAGTACCAATGGGACAATCTTGTATATGACAGATTATATATATGTTCTTAGTGTATAACTACCTTGAGGTTTGTCCTAAAACTCCTGAGCTACAAGAGCATCTCCTTAGCCTCATTCTTATCTTTATCTTTGCTGTTTCTCACAGGGCTGTTTGGCAGTTACACAAGATTATATGAAAAGGCCTTTTGGTAAAAGGCTATGTGTATAGAAATGGTATAGTGACCTCCTACAAGCTTGTGTGAAAAACCTCAGGCCTGGGTCCTTGTGCTTTGTGTTTTGGCTTTACTTAGTTGGCAAAGACTCCTCAGTACATTAGAAGTTCCCTTGAACCTTGTTTGCTTCTCTTTTAAACTGTTACAGATAAGCTTTCAGTTTGTTACTCTTACATTATAACTCAGACCCCTGAGAACAATGTTCAGATGGATAATCTCTCCAAAAGCTGTACTTTTGAGTTGCAAATTCTGTTACTATAGTAGTACACGGCTGCCCCCTCAGCATTTTAGTCTCTACCAAGATGGAAAACTGGACTTCCAAAAGCTAGCACTGTGAGGCAATGTGGAAACAAAACTAGTTAGTACTTTTAATGTCTTAATGGAAAAAGAATTATTTCCCAAACAAAAACTAGCACATAAACATAAACTAGGGAATTAATCTTAGCAGATACTCAGGAATATTGAGTGGGTAGGTAGTAAGAGGAAAGCTGTACTTTTCATAATGACTTAGCTAGTGCTAAGACTTCTCTCCCTCAGTGCTCCCAGAACACCTACCCATCCTCTCCCAGGACACAAGGGCCCCCTTCCCAGACCAGCCTGATGACCCCAAACCTGGGTAACTTTCTGTGGTCTTTGCCATACTTCTTTTGACTGAGGAGAAGTTAGATGGTGTTTCATGTATTCTTTGCTGACTCTCCCCAGCTCCAGGTTACCAGACTTCCTGTTTGCCTGAAGCCCTTGCTTGGGGACTGATTTTTGCATATGACCTTTTTGCTGAAATCTTGGTATCCACTTTTGTTTATCTCAAATCCTCTGATTCCAAATTGAGAGAACATGCTAACAGCTCAGATTGAAAGCCTTGATCATAAGTGCTTTGGATGGGTCTTCAAGACTGCTGACAGGTAGGGTAGTCTTGATTCTCAAATGAGTTTGGTGAGGTACTACTTTCTATAAAGGGTGTCTTTCCAGGAGGGCATGGACTGCCCTCAGATGGCTGCACAGGGCAAGAGTGAACTACCATAAAAGTGGCAAGGCTGTGAACTGGCTGTTGGAAGCTACCTCAAGAACTGTTGTTTCTGTGAAGTGTTTCAGGAGACAGAAGCAGTAAGCAAAGGGTGAAAAAGGGAGACTTCTGAACCATCAAAACCAGAGCAACATCCCCTCTAAATTTCATACCAAAGAAGAAATTGTGTCAGGAAATAAATTTTTAAACATCCCCTCTAAATTTCATACCAAAGAAGAAATTGTGTCAGGAAATAAATTTTTAAAAAAGATTTAGGGCACCAGTGGTTTATGCTATCATCCTTGGGAGGCAGAGATCCAAAGGATCGTAGTTCCAGGCCAAAAGTTGCTAAGATCCCATCTCAATAGAAAAAGCTGAGCATGTTGGCTTATACCTGTTATCCCAGAAACATAAGGGAAACAGGAGTGTGGACCAAGTTGGACAAGACCTTATCAAAAAATAATGTTAGAAGCTGGACACTGGTGGCTCATGCCTGTAATCCTAGCTGCTAAGGAGGCTGAAATCAGCATCACAATTCAAAGCCAGCCGAGTCAGGAAAGTCCTCCATTTACCCACCAAAAAGCTGGAAGTAGAGACATGATTCAAGTGGTAGACCATCAGCCTTGGTTGAAAAGGCTGAAAGGGATAATGCCTAGGCCAGTACCGGCATTTCCCCTCCCCCTCATAATAACCAGAGTAAAAGGGCTGGAGGTGTGCTCAAGTGGTAGAGCACCTGTGTAGCAAGCCCTAATTTTTGAAACCCAGTACCAACACCACTTTTTAATTCATGATAAATCTTTACAGTTCTCATGTTGGATCAGCAGAGCAGGGACAGTAAGGGAGCTGTCATGTTAATAGGCCCTCAACTTTGCCTAGTCCTAAATGTCTAAATGACATAGTAGGGTCATATATGTTTTTCCCTAAAAGACCAGTATGTTTTATCCCAATGGAAAGTTTGAACTTAGCATTCTGTAAACAAAAATTCCCAGGTGGGCACTGGTTGCTCATACTTGTAATCCTAGCCATTCAAGAGGCTGAGATTTGTGGATCATGGGTTCCAAGCCAGCCTGGACAGCAAAGTTTGTGACACTCATCTCCAATAAACTATCAAAAAAAAAGTGGAGCTGTGGCCCAAGTGGTAGAGAACTAGACCTGAGCACAAGACTCAGAGACAGCTCCCAAGCCCTGACTGGAGTTCAAACTCCAGGACCATCAATCTTAAAAAATTCCCACACTGACAAAGTAACACACTCTTCTGCAATGAATTCCACTAAGCCTGTTCATTGTCTACTTCCTATAGAAAACTGTCACAAATTATCTTCAAAAATTCTTGGAGCAGGATCAGTGATCAGACTGTTTTAAGTCTGTGAGGTAGTTTGGAACATTGTTGATTTACGTTTGTATGTGTGCCAGCTATGGGTCTTGAACTCATAGCTTGTAGTATCCGTGAACTTTTTTGTTCAAGGCTAGCTAGTACTTGACTTGAGCCACAGATCCATTTCTGGCTTTTTATTGGTTAACTGGAGTTGAGATTCATGGACCTTTCTGCTCAGGCTGGCTTCAAGCCACGATCCTCAGATCTCAGCTTCCTGTGTAGCTAGGATTATAGGTGTGAGACATTGGCACCAGCTCAGGCTTTTAGAACACACTTGGTTATCAAATTAGGAAAGGTATTTCCTGTGAGCAGCTTTTTACTGTTAACCCATATTTATTAGATACAGGCTATTTAAGTAGTACATAATCCAGAGGAGCAGTCTATCCCTTTGCAGATATGGTGTGTATACTAAAGCTGCTGCCGGCTTTTCTTCCTGATCACTTATTAAAGTTTTTCTGAGTTTTCATTTTGTCTTGATTCTCCAAAACAAAATCACAAGAGACAAACTTACATGTTTATTGTTGATCTTAATTTCAAACAGAAGAGGATGTGCTGTGTTTTTACATGAAAACCCTACTATGATCAAGTTGCAGCCCAGGGACTCTACCATTGTCCTCTGCAGGGAACTCTTCCAGGGAGATACCTGGGTGACATTCACCAGCATCCATCTATGTGATGTGCATGGCTGGCCACTAAGTTCCTGTATCAGCTTATATAGTTTTTCCTGTACACTGCAACATCTCTGTGGAAGCAGTTTTAGAACTGCTAAAGAACATTCAAGCAAATCATTGCCAGGTGCCAAGCTAATCACCAGAATAAAGCACTGGAAATACAAAGAGATGAAAGCCTGCTGCCTGTTGGAATGGCGCAGAAAGCCATTGTGGAGGACATGACATTGATGAAGAAATGGTTCAGAAACAAACTAGCATTCACTACAAATAAAGTTCTGTGCCACAGGTTCAAGTAGTCAGACTAGTCTAGCAGTGTCAAATTTCCATCAAAGAGAAAGTATCCATCATGTTGAAAGTCTGCGAGAGCCAGAAATTTAACAGTAGTACTTGTTGGTACTCCCTAAGAATCTTTATTTTGAAAGTGCTAGCAATTAAACCTGGCCTCTGACCTGCTAGCAAGCACTATCATATGTAGGCCATGCTACAGTCCTCTTTCTTTATAGTTTTTTAAAGTAATATAACAACTGGCCTTGAAGCACAATCCTCCAATCTCAGCCTTCCAAGGAGCTAGGATTACAGACAACCCCCACACCCAGCCCATGTATGGAGTTCTAAGAGCACTCCTGCCCCTTCCTCACACTTCCAGCATATCCTGATTTACAATGTACAACTGTTTTCTCTGTGTACATCCAGAGACAAATGCTTACCTTCTCTCCCACCTGTATAATCTTAGTGTTCATCTAGTTGCTTTGGGTGCTTTCACTTGTGCCTCAAATGAAAGTAATGACTGGGCCCTGCATCACACTAAAGATTGAGACTACAGGAACACCAGGAAGAAAACTCCAGATCTTTGGTCACCCTGGCTGGGCTCAAAAGGTGTATTTGTTTTCTAGGAATTAGGAATAGTGCTGAGCCATCCAAATAAACACTAAATAGGTACACTGTTGAGCAATGTGATGAAAAAGAAAATGTCACATAGGTAGCAGATCCCAGCTTGGAAGCTGATCCTAGTACTTACCTGTTGTATCTCCAGATGTGTTAAATAGTTATATTTGGGATTGTCCATAAAGTAGAATTACAATTTTAGCTTTATATAATTTAACCCTATTAACAGTATTAATACTGTACTTGTAATCTCATGTTCCTAGGATTGGTCTGTTCCCCACATGCTAGCTGTGCTGAGTTCTCATTTCGTTTTTGAAATGTGAGCCTCTCTGAACTGCAACACCTGGGTCAAGATTGGCGAGCTGATTGGACCTAGAAGGCAAACCTTGTTTTCCTAGTGGCAGAATGAAGCTGATCACAGAGAGAAGGGCAGATCCAGTCCCAGTTAGGTTTGCACATAGGCTCAATTGCATGTATGAGTGTGAGGAAAGGTGGTAAACAGCTGAAAGCACAAACAGGACTGTAGTGGTCATCAAATGTGCAGCGAGGAGGAACACAAAGTAAAAACAAAACATCTTGTTCATTCTTGGCTTTGAAGTACCTACACCAACTCCACATCAGCCACAATGTGAACAAAAATACTAGAAGCTTTTTTTCCCCCAAATGGCTGTTGAATTTATTTGCTTGATCAATAATAGTCTTGGCAAAAATTAGTTAACCAATGTTGAGACATTTGTAATAGTAATTTCAGAAATCCATGACACCCTGATA